TATTTACTTTGATAATAAGAGTGATTCAATATCAGGATAAGCGAAAATTACAGATTGTATTGATTATTATCGCATTATTTCTGCATTAGTTATGGTACAATAACTATATTATGTATATAATTTCATACATTTTTTATTTCTATTTATTCGTATTATCTTCTATATTTATTGTTTATTTGAATTATAATGATAAAATGAAATTTCTGTAAAAGAAAATAAAACTGCGAATAATATTATGTATTTTCGTTTAAGTTACATAAGCAATCAAGATATTTTACAGAAAAAAAAGTATGATAACAGTAAAAAAGAAAAAAATATAAATATATATTGTATTGGATGAACTACATATAAATATGTGGTGGTACAAATATTATCTAAAAATTTCATGAATATCTTACAAATATTATTTACTTCATCGATCAAGGGGAAAGTCTGATTGTTTTCACTTTAATTTCAATCAAAATTTCTTTAATTTTTAAAATGCTACATTTTATTTTATAATCATATTTATAATAATATCTTTTAAATACAAAATCTTATTTTAAAAAATAATAGAAATTGAAAGGGAAAAAATCTTTCTACTTTTTTTTTTTTTTTATTCTAACAGTTATTATACTAGAAGAGAAATATAATATCGAAAAATTGAAAAAATGTTATCTATCTTATGTAAAAATATTTTAATGTTCGAAATATTAAAATATTCAGGAAATCAAAGAAAAGGAAAAATATTTGTCTTTTCAACCTCTTATCGATCTTATATCTTTGAAGGATGTTTCTTCACGAAATAGCGAAAACAAGAAATTATTCAAAATGTAAGAATTTTTGTAATTACACAAACTAATTATTAAACCGAAAATACAGAAAAATTTTACGAGAAATTTAAAATTCATTAATTCTTTGTAATATCAGGATTAAATCTTATTTGATAAATTTTTGTAAGTCTCATATTGTAAAGTCTTGATAAAATTAATATATATTTAATATTAATACAAGCGTCTGATTAAATTTTCATGTAAATTTAAGTAGCTTAATATTATTGAAATTTTTTTATATTTATAATTCATATATTTTATTTAATATTTTAAAGGCAATAAATTGAATATGAATAGTCGATAAAAAAACAATATAATCAAATATAGAAATTTATAATTAAAAAAAATATGTTGTCCATTTATTTATATTTGTAATTTATATTTTTTTCTTTATATTATTAAAGATAATGCTAATTTTTTTAATGGATTATAAAGCTTTTTGTATAAATATTTTTATTTACAATATGCAAACGATATATTTTGCTTTATATACTGCTAAAGAGAGATTATAGTTTTCAAATAAAAGTTTTGATAAACTATTATAAATTGCATTATATACTATGTAATAATATTTATGTTGACAATATGACATACTCAAACCAAGGCCCATTAAATTTTCCTTTTTGCCATATTTAGTTTGACGTAAAATTTATGGTTAATGTTATGGTGTTGCCACCTTTATATTGAAACATATGTTTTGCGTTATTTTTTCTTAATTTGACATTATCTATATATACTAAATAAGTGTACAAAAGAAATTCACTTTATATATATATATATATATATATATTAGAATATATGGTTGTAAAAAATGATTATCGCGTGTTTAATAAATAATAAATTTTAAATTTTCTTTCTATAGATATCGATTTACTTTACAAGAGATTTAACAAATTCAGTTTAATCTTTTAAAACCAGTAGCATTTTTTATAAAGTTTTTGTTAATACGATTTGAATAATTATTAATAAATTAATATTTTAATTTATAGTTGTTATTTTTATTTAGAAATATATTCGAATTTATTTGCATTTTTCATCTTAAAATTTTTATTTTAATTATTTTTTTCTGAATTAATATTACGGGCATAGAAAAGCTGTTAATATATTGTTCTTAATTAGTTCTAGATATCGCTGATGAATTTTAAACAAGTAAGATAATTTAGTTTCCATTGTTAAATTGTATTGTTCTATTTTCCAAGTAATATAATATTGTTCTTATATCTTATTATTAATTATTCTGAGATCTTCATAGTACATATTATAAATTTTATATTATAGATGCAACTACATTGTGTTATGTAATGCATAAATTAAATCGAAGCTAGTAGTTAGAGATAAAATTGGAGTATTTATTTAAATGAGTTTTCAATTACTGAAAGATTTCAACATTACAAAATATCGGGATGTACCTGTTTTTATGATTTGTCATGGCAAACTAATTCTATATTCTATATTTAAATTTATCATTTATAATTAATGCTTAATTACACAACGTTTGAAATAAATATTTACTTTCATATTTATAAAAAAATCTGTCGAAGATAATTGAAGTATAAATTTTGGTAATAAAATGAATTAGCTTTTCAACGGATTAATGATATTATTTATTTAATAAGGAAAATCAAATAATTAATTAATAATAGTCACGACGATTTTTTTTATATGAGTTCATATATGAAACATTGTTTCCTTTATTTATTCCTTTATCCTCAATTCGCGTTCCAGACAAATATCAAATAGACGTATATTTTTAAGTAAAATTAATTTTCCACTAAATTATATTAGCACATCTCTTAAATTTTGTATTACATTTCAGAATAGGTTTTATGATAAAAATAAAATTATTTTGCGATTAGAACACAATTCTTAGATCCTACGTTCGTCTGTAAAATTATATAATTGTAAAATTTTGTAAATTCAAGAGTCTTTATAACTGTTTTATAATGACCATACACTAAGGAGAATCTGGTTTGATAATGGATTAAGAAAAAATAAATATCCAGTGTGTGTCTTATCAAATAGTTTAGACGCTTATAATATTTAACTCATCGTATTCTTGAATTTTTTGTCATTCCTTGTCCAATATTATCAATTGTGTAAGGTTCATCTGGGTAAAATCTTTTCACATTTATCAAGAGTTGTAGTGAAAAAAATAAATTCATAAAAATCAAGTAATATTAATGATTGCGTAAATTATAGGTAATTTTCCGTATTGGTCGAACAATATTAAACTAATGTTTTTTGTTAATTCAGTTTCATCTTCTTATAAGTATGTAGAATTCTTTGGAATGGAAATATAATTTACATGTATGTTTAATTATGAAAAATGTGGAAATTTGTAAAACTCATTCAAGTTGTTTCTGTTCATATTTAGCTTTGTTTGCTATATTATTTTTTATTGAAATTACGTGTCACTGTACAATTACGTTTAATACTAATTTTTCATTAGGTTTTGAAGTAAATATAGTATTTCAAAAATTTTATATAAAATTAATTAAAATATTTATGTGAAATCACATGAAATAATTTTCTGATTTCAACATCAATTACCAAAATGTTTTTCGTTTAAATTAAAATAAATTTGAGGTTAAAACATCCATATCGCTTAACCGTAGACTCATTACGATAATTGACTATTTAAATCATTTAAGGTAACTTTTATGCGTCATTGGAAGTATCGAACATATGTAATATTCATAATAATTAAAAACTTTTTAAGGATCATTAAAAAAGTTTTAGTTTTATGTAGTTATAAGAAATTACTAAAATTCTATATCCCTTGTTAACATTATTTAATAACAAATCAAAGTAAATTTGTTTCATAAAATTACAGTATCTTTTAATATTTTCTTGCGAATCTGAGTTTATTCTCATTCATTCGAATTAATTTAATTGAACGATATATTCACACTCTAATATTTCTCATTCTTTTTTATCGATATTTGTATTTTTATAGTTGGTGCCATCAATAAGCAAGATACATTGTTCTAGGCTTGCAGCAAAATCTTGTATTGTCACATTAATGATTGTGGCAGAAAATTTTGTTTGCATAATGCAGAGGACGATACGATAATAAAGTAATTCATCGATTTTCTGTAAAAGTCTAATAAATATTGAGGAAAAGATACGGTTTATCACAATTACCGATACGATGTTGATGTTTAGTACTCGGGGCAAAGCTTCTCCCCAATTGTATTATAATGTACCGGTAGATCGAATCACTGTCTGGTAGTTACAAAAGTATCACGATTTTTTTTTTTTTTTTTTTTTTTTTTAATTTTGCACATATCGAGTACGTGGCAATATTATGACGACTTAGTGGTAAGAGAAGTCGTGGTATCGGGCATCCGAAAGCACAGCATAATTGGCTTAAAATAAGGGAAAGAAGACTGTCGATGTGGAGAGTATAGTAACTATATGCTAAGCTAATAAATAGAGAGCTCGGGCAGGCGAACGAGAGAGCGGGAGAGAGAGAGAGAGAGAGAGAGAGAGAGAGAGAGCACGAGAGAAAGAGGGCGTAAGAGAGCGTGAGAGAGCGTGAGAGAGAGAGAGAGAACACGAGAGAAAGAGGGCGTAACACAGCGTGAGAGAGCGTGAGAGAGAGAGAGAGAGATAAGGAAACTAGCCACTGGAAAAAGAGCGAGAGGGAGGCAAGCGCGCTCCCGCGATAAGCAGATAACCCCGACTCGCTTTTTCTTCGGTCCCCGTCTTTTCTCGCCCCGCGCGCACGCGGGGGTCGAGAGGTCGCACGTCCACGCGCGCGCGCACGCACGCACTCCCTCGGCCACGGGACACACGTAGCACGGGAGCACGAAGGCTTCTCGCACTTTGGACCGCGCGCGCGAGACTCGCGACTTAAGTTGGACTAGACCGCATTCCGGTTGCTCAGTGCCTCACCGACAACTCACCAAGGCGCAGCGCCAACTACCCCCGGGAGCAGCCGAGGGACGCCGAGCTCTCAACGCCACTTGGACATTACGGCTGCATCATGGCCCTCTAGTCGGCCTCCGTCCAGCACTTCCTAAAGAGAGAGAGAGAGAGAGAGAGAGAGAGAGAGAGCGTGTGAGAGAGATTGAGAAAGAGAGCGTGTGAGAGAGATTCAGAGAGAGAGAGAGAGAGAGAGAGAGCGATAGAGCACGTGGAGAAGCGGTTGGTGGAGCACGTGGTGACCCCCCCACCCCTCGCGACCACTGTATTGGCTTGTCGGAGGACACACGCCGCGGCCGTCCCTTTCGCACCCCCAAGCTCAGTAACGGCGGCAGCAGCAGCCTCCCTTTGTCGATTCGTTATTAACGCAGGCGCGTGGAAAATGTCGGCTACAGAGTCGAGGAGCTACACGTCCAATGGCAGCATGATCGTTGTGAGCAACAGGTTACCCTTCGTCTTGAGGAGGAACGAGGCTACGGGGAAGCTCGAGCGCAAGGCCAGGTAAGTCGCGAGTAGCCTCTCTTTCCTTCCTTCCTTCCTTGTTTCCTTCTTCGCTTCCTTCTTTGCTTTCTTCCTTACTACCTGGCTTCCTTCATTCTAACATTACCTCCCTCCCTCCCGTTCTTCCCCCATTCGTCGCACCTTCCTTCCGTCCTTCCTCCTTCCTTTCTTCTTTCCTTGATCCTTCCTTCCTTCTTTCCTTCCTTCCTCCTTCCTTCCCTTCTTCATTCGGTACTTACTTTCGTCCAGCTTCCGATACGCTTGTATTGCTTGAAAGCCAGTTTTTTGTTGTTGATATATTAGCTTTGTTTACGCGGCGACTCGTTGCAATCAAGCTCTTATTTGGACAATTTGTTTATCATGTCGGGCATGTAATCAATGTAAATAATTGGTTATTGAAATTGAGTTGTAAAATATTGTCAAATGAATTTGCAGTAATTATGATATTGTTAAAGATTTTAATCTTGTTTACCATTAGATCTACATAATTTATGAAAATCAGAGTAAATTGATATAAATGAGCGAGTCGAGTCTGTTCTGTTCAAACGCTTCAACGTTTCTTTAAATGACATTACGCATACTATTATTCACGCATAATCTATTTATTTATTTATTTTTATTAATTTTATTAGTAATTTGCAATTACATAGCCTGTTAAAATTGGCATCTTATGTCTCTTAAGTGCTTAAAGTGCCAAATAAAAAATCTGCCATCTAATCCGGGAGCTTATATTACTGTTATAATCTATGCGGATATTTCCTGTGAAAATATTTTACTATCAAACAGATTATTTAAAAACAGCTTTGTTCAAGTTCCGATTAAAAATACTGTTTATGAATATGAGTGACTATTGGCAGACATTTTAAAATAGCGATATATAGAATTACTTTGATAATAGTAAATATAATTCCAATAAACACCAATAAGTGAAATAAAGAAGTTGGTTCTGCATCACGTGGTACTTCGTGATTTATGCTTAATTAAAAATAAACTTTATTAATGAAATATTATTTTTCGATGCAAATTTCCTTGTAGGCTTATATCTATTTTATTGTTCATTTAAGAATTGAATACTGATGCATTTTAGCGAAGATAACCTAACATTAATAATGTTATTGATGCCTCTTTATCGAATGCCCTATGCAGTGTGACATTAAGTATTGACGTTTTATTTTTACCCCAAAACGATTCAAGATTTCACAATATTGGAATAACAGTATTAGGTTGCGCAATTTTATAGTCAATCTCGCTTATTTTTTTTTTACCGTTATATGAAATACATTTTATTTTATTATAGGAATTCAATTGTGATTGCCGTGCAGTCACGAATTAATCAATATTATTGAATTAGCTTAAATTTTTCTATTAATAATTAGTTGAATAGACGTGACATTCCAACTCCTTACATTAATATTGATTTTAACTTATATAATGAAGCATTTTTTAAATTAATTACAATATAACCTTCAATGCTAAGTGTTTTTAATTGCCCTTATTATTATAGTCTTTAGATATTAATAGATGTATATTTAAAGTTTTGCTTTTAGGACAACTGAATACTTTTATTGACAATGACAAGTAAACAATTTCTGCATCTCATTAGATTATTAAGAAAATTTAGTTACTATCTCGTTTCACTGCACTTTAATATTTATTACATTTTCAAGATAGAATGCCTGTATTTTACTTAAAGCCTCAAGAATGACAAGAAAAAAAGAAAGCAACATCATTTTAGTAATAGTATAATAGATTGAAATAAATATACAATTACCGAGAAAGGACTCGATATGTCCATACAATCGCAAAGGAATAAAACAAAAGTGGAAAATAACTTTGCGTTCATTCGTCCTTAAAGGTAATAATATCATATTGAAATTTTAAATGCTAATATAAAAAAAGGTGCTTCGCTATGATTATTAAATATTTAAGTAAATGATGTATTTAATGGACTGTAATAATGGCAATGAGAGTGCGCTTGTATAAAAGAAATTTTCCTATTCTCGTCGCCGTTGCAAAGTCTCTCGAATTACTATAATATTGTTACTCGTAGCAATAAAAGCTCATATTGTGCTATTGCTTTCGCTATTCTTTGGCTGATCTATTATCAAATAATATACGTATTGTTTTTTGTTTCTTTATTTTTTTAAATGAAAGTCCTGCTTTTATCGAAAAATAGCGTGCGTCATAAGAAGCGACCGATTGTTGGTGTGTGAGTCGCTACGTAAATGTGCGCATTAAAATGTGAGAGGGTTGAACGTCAAAAGTGATTTATCAAAAAATAGACAGCGCGCCGCCTCTCCCGATATCTAGAATAGACTGTTTTTTTTTTTTTAAAGAAAACTTTATGCTCTGCTATCTTTTTTCTCTCATTCTTATTAAATGTCGAAAGAAACAGGCGATAAGTATACGCGTATTTGTATTTATACGTAAAATTTCAAGATGAGCGATAGAGCAAGAGATACATCCTCAACTATTTCTTACCTTTTATTGGTAAGCGAGCAATAGTCCATAATCTGATTTCTATATACATATTTTTATATAATTATTAGTTTACGCATAGTATTTTGAAAATTTTATTTCAATATTTTTTATCGATATTTTCTATTTTTTTTCATGATAATTTTCTAATATATAATATTCTTGTTATAGCTTATATATTACTTTATTAGCTTCGTGTTCAAGTCAAACCTTATTTAAATTACGAATTTAATATTTTATCTATTTTTTATATTTAATTATTTGTTATTATTTGACATTTGAGCACTAATACTGTATATAAATATAATTATATAAATTATAATTATACATCGGAAATAAATTAATGAAATATCTTAGGAATAATATATTACAACTATTTGTTTAAATATCAATAATCCTGTTATTCAAAAATACCTCATAATGAAGTATGAAATATAATCTTGAAGTTAGCAAAGAGAATTTTCGAACAATTTACGCAATATAATGTTTCATTATAAAATTAATTCTATAATAAATCAATTGGATGTTTTATCTAATTTTGAATCTTGTAAGTCATTGATGAATCGTTTTAGTTTTCTTATTTGAAGGGGCTATTACAATTAAAAGCTAAATGTTTAAACGATAGCACTACAAGATTTTTATTTAGTGAAATCTGGTCAATTTTATGTTTCTAATAATAATCTTTTTATAGCAAACGATCATAAATTTTTTACTTTTATAAAGTTTCAATATATTATTCAAGTGTTAATTGGACGAATACTTCATGTTACATAAAATTCCTAATGAATATTATTTAAGGTATTTTAATCATTCAAATTTTAATAAAATAATATATATTTACTTGTAATATGTAATATTTTAGATTATAAGTGCATTGTTTTTCAGCTATGGTATGCCCTAATTGTAATAGAAATCTATACAATTAATTATGTTAAATAAGGTTACAACTTTAATCACTTTTTATCGCGTTTTTAACAAATTTTCACGGACCTTATTATTATTATTATTATTATTATTATTATTATTATTATTATTATTATTATTATTATTATTATTATTAATGTTAATGTACTTTCTTAATACACAATATGTGTTTTGTATTGTATATTATATTGTTTTGTATATTATGAAATCGAATTAAAGGGAAAATTAATAAAGGCCATTATTTAAATTTATAGTTATATGAAATATTTATTTAGCTTAGATTTACTACGAAGGATAGTCTGTATAAAGAGTATTTTTATTTCATACACTTGATAATAAGTATATTTAAAAATATTTGTCTCTTATCATTATGTAATTTTTTTTAGCATTACTCTGTGCTTAATATTTAATTTTTATAATAATATTTATTCCCTTTCCAAGAAATTAAATAAAATTCGAAAACAAAAGCTTTTCTTTTAATTTAATATATATTCATCGTCTTGGCTATGTAATTATTCTTAGAAATCATATATATATATATATATATATACATATATATATATATATCGTAAATATACAATTTATATTAAATGTTGTGTATAATTTGTTATATTTGCAATAATCTTACATTGATCTGATATGCACAGCCAAATTATGTAAATTTTATTGAAATCTATCGAATACTCGATAGATATTTAGTAATAGAAGTAGATTAATTTCATTTTGATAATGAAGAAGCACACACGCAGCGAACATTCTAAAGCCAAACAAATTATTAAAATATTGAAGTAGCGTATCTAATGAAAAAATCGAACTATGCCGAGACAGCGTACAAGAAAATCACGTGAGCAACAGAAGAAAAAAGGGAATGCGAGGTTATCGTGTAATACATGAAGTGAGAGTTCGCATATCGATAAGCGGTGTAAAAAGGAGAGAAAGAAAGAAATGTAAAGAGAATTATTTGGTACATCTGACCTCTCTTGGCTTGTTATCACCAATCGCAAGCTCTCGCGAAGATGAAAATACCGATCTTCTAAAATAGGTCATTACGGGAGATCAAATGCGACGAGTTTTTACATTACGCGAAGAGCGGGGGAATAAGTTATCGAATCGCTGATAGATTCATGAAAGACGGACACCAATGCAGATTTGCAATCAAAAGATATGAAAATTTTTTTACACTCTCGTTTTTTAACTTTATACCATTCGTCTCTTTGCTCTTTTACATGTAATTTATGACTAAGAATTCATTAGTGAACTGATCAGATTCGACATTACGGTTAATGGAATAAATGCAACATTCGTATCTATCGGTGGAAGTTGAATTAGCTTAATAAATTAATTTATTTCTATTCTCTGAAATTTTTTCTTGTCAGATTTTCAATTATTTGTAGTAAGAATGATAAATATATCGAAACGTATATTTTCTTTTCTTTTTTATAATGTTTTTTTCTAATTCTTAAATGTTATAAACTATATTACTACAAATAATGTTTTTACTAATTAACTACAAATAAATAAAAGTAGAATAACATTGTACATTAAAATTATAAATGGTCTATAATTTAACAACAATGTAATATCCAGTTTTATCGTTA